GAGATGCTCAGTTTATAGAACAGATGGATCCAACAGTTTCATTGTTCCAAAATCATTTTTGTTGAATGAAAGTTAAAATCCACGGTCTGGTTAATGAGATATTTTGCTAACAGACAGGGTCCACGCTAAAGCAGGTCAAAGGTCATTGTCTCTTTTCTCTAAAACCAACATGGCAGCAAGACTCAGGTTTGTTTCATCTGAAGGAACAAAAAGACTTCAGGACCAGGACCAGAACCAGATCCAGACCCAGACCCAGACCAGAGGACAGATGTTTCACCCAGAATGCACTGCAGCAAACAGCTCCTCCCACCTGTCAGCACGGTGGTGGAGGGTCCATCTGTCTGACTGATGAAGTCCAAAAGAACTAGGATCCCAAACAGAATGGGTCTAAAAGAGAAGAACTGAGAACCAGAACTAGAACCTGAACCTGAGCAGAACTTGAATGAACTGAAACAACGACAGAAGGATGAGTGGTCCAAAACTCCTCCACAACCCTGAGAGACAGAACCACTGCTGGACCAGGAGCTGGAACCAGATCAGGAGCTGGTGAGGACTTTAGCCTCGGTTACAGAGGAGATATTTTACTTCAATGTGCTGCAGCTCAGTCTGAAAACCCCCTGAGACTCAGTCCTCCTGAGACTCAGACCCCCTGAGACTCAGTCCTCCTGAGACTCAGACCCCCTGAGACTCAGACCCCCTGAGACTCAGACCCCCTGAGACTCAGACCCCCTGAGACTCAGAACCCCTGAGACTCAGACCCCCTGAGACTCAGACCCCCTGAGACTCAGACCCCCTGAGACTGCGTCAGGAAGGATACGTGGCGTCCCCTCGGTGCGACACACCAGGTAGATGCAGGCGGCGATGATGTGGTCCATTCTGCGTCCGCGGGTCAGGCTTTTGTTCAGCGCCATCTTGTAGAAGTTGAAGGCCGTGTCCAAACAGTGCTGACTCATCTGCAGCTGGTGTCCCAGAGTGTTGATGTACTCTTTAGCTGAGGACACAAACACTTCCTGTTGGTCCACGTGTCCTTAAGTTTGTCCCAGCAGGGCCACCGTAGCTACAGTTCACATTAAACACCATGCTAATCGCTTTAGCTTCTCTGGGGAGTTTTTAATGTTACYTTAGCATCTATGCTAATTTAGTGGACTCGTTTGAGTTTTTTTTTCTTTTTCTTTTAACTCAGATTATTTCAGGCTGAAAGTGAAACTTGTTTTTCTAAAAAAAAAAACTGGATTCTGTTTGAGTTTCTGTCAAACTTTTTAGTTTTTCATGAAATCTGAGCTGAAAGTTTCAGGACCAACAGGAAGGTGCTGAGCTTCTGTTGTTGGCGAGTGGACGTCCTCTGTGCCGAATCAGGAGCTGAACTTTAGCCACTAGCTGAAGAAATTACAGKAAGCTGTTCAAGCTAAAATATTACTATCTGAAGCCACAGAAGGCAAAATCTGAAATTATTCAAATGTTAGGAAGAAGTAACTAAAATTTTAACTGTTGCTAAAAGCAGAACAGTAGCTAAAGTAGCTGAAGATGACAGAACAAGCAGCTAAAGCAGATTCTACAGAGAGATTGATTTTTTTGTAAATGACTAAAGTTACAAAACTAACAGCAGCTGAATGTTTTGATGCATAAACAGCTAAAATGATCTGTGAAACACTTGAGTTTTGGCTGATAAAAACTCAAAACTGCAGCTGGAGCGCCCCCTGCTGCTGACTCACCTCTCTGCAGAGTCCTGGCTCTGGACTCGGACCCCAGACTCGTGCCATGCCCGTCTCCAAAGAGTGGGTTCTTCTGACCTGAAAACGACAAACCAGCAGGTTAACCTCTTCAACCCCAGGATGAAATGTAACTGAGTGTCTCAGTTTTTACAAACTCTACTTAAATAATCTTTGTATCAAAATAAAGCTAACAGTTGGGAGAATTTATTAGAAGTGTCAGTATTAAAACAGCTGCTGTGGTTTTAGACATATTGAGGATGGAATATATATATATATATATTTTTTTTTCCTCTCACCTGAATAACATTTAGACGGTATATAGCCTATTTAAAACCATAATGAATCAGACTAAAAACTCTTGGAAACCATAAATCCACCTGTGGACATCACCTGTACAAAGATTTATGCTGCTAAAATGAACTGGAGCAAAGTTACAGAGGTTTTAGTAAAGAAATAATTTAGTGTTTAGTCATTCTGTACAGGACAGACCATGTTGGTAGTACTATTAATAGCGCTGACGCTATATTGCCTTATATGTATTAGCTCAGCGTTAGCGCGACAAACAAGCTAAACTGAGGTCCTCCATCCATATTTTCAGTTACAGACTGAGTCATTTTTGTGTTCCCCTCTCTGTCATGTGGATGGAGGACCTCAGTGACGAGAGGAGAACGTGTAGCGCTGAGCTAATACATATATATAGTGATAGCATCAGGGCTAATGCTAAAGCTAACAGGCTAATCTGAGGTTCTTCTTCCATGAAGCAGCTCTGTTGTCCTCCATCCATATTTTCAGTTCCAGGCTGAGTCATTTCTACCTTCTCCTCTCTGTCAACGCTCTCTGGTTTCATTTAAAAGAGTCGATCATCAGATATTGTCCAAGATTAACCTTCAGGGTGGATATAGCTCGCTAGCAGCCTCGCACCGAGGACCTATCCACGTCATCATTTACCCAGAATGCTTTGTGTGGAAATGAAATGGCTCCGTCCGTGTTAAAATATATTCTAAAAAATTTACAAAACTAAACATCCTACAGTATTTTTACAGTCTTTATTTTACAGTTAAAATAATGTTTATTAAATAAAGTCTAATGTTACAACTAATCATGGATCCTTAAGTTAAACGAAACAGAAAACAGAAAAAGCTGTTTTGCCTCTGAGGTTAAACCTGTCCTCAGTGTCCCACCTTCTGAGGACACGAACTGTCCCACAGCCAGAGACCCGCCTCCTCCGGACTCCACGAACTCCACCTCGGACACGATGATGTTGTCCTCCAAGACCGAGCCGCAGCCCATGCAGACGGCGTCGCCCCGGGCCGGGTCCACATCGATGTCCGAGCCACCGCAGGTCCTGCACACCTTGGAACTCATGGCGCCGCTGGGAGGAGCCTCAGAACACGAGCAGAACCTGAGCAGAACCTGAAGAAGGAAAGAAAATAAAACAGATTATAATTAAAACCTGGATAGAAACACTCTAAAATAAAACAGGACAGAGTGAATCAGAAGTTTTATCAATAATTAATTCATAAAACAGACCTGTTGGTGCTCAGAGTCTGAGTCCAGGACCACTCTCAGCTACTACCTCAACAAATTTTAGCTTCAGATATTTAAAAACAAATTTTAGCCATTTTTGTGTTCGCTAAGGTTGGTTAGCTGTGGTGGCCATCTTGAATCAAGTTGTCTCCAAAAGTTAATTATTAGTTGACAAACATCCAAACATTTTTTTATAAGAGTTCCCTTTAAATCTGTTCAGCTGTTCATTAGATATTTTGCTAACAGACAAACAAGGCTCAACCAGCAGTTAATGTCAGTTTTAAACAAGTCTGTCGTGCAGGCTTATCTGAGCTCAAAGTCWATGTTGAGGAGGACTCTCAGCTACTACCTCAGCAGATTTCAGCTTCAGATCTGCAGCACTGCCTGAGTTAGAGACGTGTTTGTGTTTGGTAAGGTTGKTCAGCTGTGGCGGCCATCTTGAATCAGGTTGACCCCTAAAGTGAATCAGCTGTGGGGGTCCACCTGGTTGGTGTTTTTTGAGAGTTTCATTAAAATCAAACCAGTGGTTCGAGAGATATTTTAATAACAGACAGAGACAAAAACACAACTTTAATCTTTAACTCGTTCGAGCCCGGAGCTCCTCCCAGACAGGATCGGTTCTGCAGCTGGGTCCGGTCCCCCCTGCAACGTGGCACCGCCCGGCCYGAGGCTCAAAGATGGATAATCAGTAAAGTTTTCAGTCTGGGCCGCGGACAGGACGGGGAACTTAACCCGGTTTAACACGTGCGCTGACATCAAACACAGCGTGGAGCTTCTTACCGTCAGTCCCGTGAGGCGAGTCCCTCCGCCCGCGTGGGTCCGAACATCCACCCCGCGCTGGGCGTCGACGCACCGGGAGCTCCGAGGATCTAAACCCCGCGGTGACAGCCCCGCAGCCCGGCTGAGAAAATGCTGCAACACCGCTGAAACCCTCAAAACACGGAGCACGTGTTTCAGCCGGAGCGGCTCGGACCGTACCACCTGTCTGCGGGCCGGGGGGTGGCGGGACGTCCCGACAGCTGTAATTCTCATTCTTCTTACACAAACTCCACATTTTTTATTTACTTTTTACCTTTTCAAGTATTTATTACTTTTGCAAACACAATACTGAATAAAAACGGTTTAATTATAAATTTTAAAATTAAAAATCTTTGCTAACACGGAGACACGATTGTACTTCCGGTTCTTCTCTTAAAGGGGCAGGCGCATTAAAATAAACTCAGATTTTATTTCTTTAAAATGATCCCCTTTGTCCTGTTTCTGGATTAGAACAAGAACCCAACACACAGATCTGTCCAGGGGTCTGCAAACTGTGGCTCTGGGGCCACATGTGGTCCTTCAGTCCCTCTGCAGATAAAAAAACTGACAAACATGTAAAATAATTTTTGTTTTTAAAGTGCCTGTGACATAAACATCCCTCAAATACAAAAAGTCAAAGAAAACATCGTTATACTTAAGAAACTTGACTTAATACACATTTTGTCTCATAACTGTCAGATTTTCTTTTGAACTTTGAACTGAAGTGAAACAGGAAGTGACATCAAAGGGGAACTTTTGCTCCCTCTCCTGTTATTCTTCTTCACAGATCTTAACTCTCTTCATCGAACTGTTTACATACAATGTTAACAGCTGACTAAAACATATTCTTATACACAAACAAAAACATTCACTTTCATACACGCCTCGTTGGGTTAGGTTATCTTTCAAAATAAAATTTCTTGACATAAATAAAAAAATTAAAATAAATAAATCTTCACTTAACCAGAAAATCTTCTGACCAGATGCAGTCGCCTTTTCTAACTAACTGTCCCTCACAACCATAGAGACAAAAGTCCATCAGTGTTTTCTCTCTGCAGCACTGAACATTAAAAACAAACAAAAAGAAACTTTATAACTTTACAATAAAACGTCTTCTTAAAAACAATAAATAAAATACATTTACACAAAAACTTGTAACAGGTAAAGGAACAATTTAAGAAAGAAAACTTCCTGTTTGTTTATCGAAATGATTTGAAGTCAGACTCGTTATCTCTGATACTCAAAATAATCTAAAACATCAGGTTCTTCTTTAGTCTGTTTACCTGCAGGTATTCCCTCTGACATCACTTCCTGTTATTGATGAAATATTTCAACAATGAAATGTTTTTTAATAGTTTACCAGTGGTGGGCAGCACTGACCTAAATATGAGTTCATCTAGCCCTAAAACACTAACTCAGATATTGAGGTCCTCTAATTCTAAAGCACTAAGAGTCACATGTTGTCATGTTTCTCTCTTAAAACTGCTCATTAACATCCCACAGCTGGATTTGGTTCATATTTTGTTAATATGTCACCTGGAGGATCAGTGACACATGTGAACAAAATGATTGACAGTTTTCACCCTCAGCTGTTAACATTAATGCTGATCAATAACATTTATAGACCTCAGTTAGTGCTTCTAAATTTAGCCTATAAATTTAGCAAGTGCTAATCCACTAATAAATTTTAAAATGAGCAAAAGCCCTAAAGCACTAATCAGCAAATTAGTGCTTTAGGGGAACTGTGCCCACCACTGGTTATCAATGTTACACTTTTAAAAATGCAACTGTGTCAGACTCTAAAGATTAATTTTATAGATTATTCACATTAGATTTGTCACAATAATAACTGAGCTTAAATCAGACACATCAGTTCATTTGCTGAATAAACACTTTTGATCCCTTMAACAAAATGTTCAGAACAGAATCTTAATGCTCTGAAAACTTCTGATAACTAAACATGTTTCTGCACAGAAAATCCCTAAAATATAAATACTCACTCGGGGGGTCACTCCGACCCCCCGAGGGTCTTCAGTCCATCAGACAGGTCCTGACAGTTTCACATCACTTTGGATTTAGACTCTACAGCATTTCAGAGACAAAGTTGTAATGAAAACAGCAGCAGTTGTACAAAGACTTGATTTTATTAACAGAAAGATCAAATTAAAGTATTTTCAGCAGAATAAAGAGAAGTTTAAAGACTGAGAGAATAAAATCTTCATGTGAAACAAAGCAGCTGCAGTTTCTCCTGCTCTGTGAAACACTCAGCTCTGTTTGGACCAAAACTCCTCATCAGCTCCAACATGAAGGGAAAACAGGAAAACTTCTCATTTTTGATTTTAAAACTAATTCTCTTTGTAAACTTTCACTCTATCATTTTAGATCTCAGTTCAGTTTAATCTGATCTGGTTTATTCTCAGTTAATCCAGATTAAAARTCATGACCTGATGTGAAACTGTTCCAGATTTAATCCAGAATAAATTAAAGCCTAAACCTCATGCTGATGAGAAATCTTCAGATTTAAACCAAATGTGACTCATTTTACCAAATTGAGGATTAAGTCAAATTTGTTCAAAATGACCCAAATATTATATTTTCAGATTCCTGCTTTAAAAGCTACTTTTTAATCCCTGGATCATTCTGATGTCATAAACTTATCCAGAGATCTGATTTAATTTGTCTTGTTGGTAAGATAAAATACATTGTTTGGTCTGAATCCTAATTTTATGTATATTTGAGTAATTTTTGATGTCAGTATAAAGAGGGAACCTCAAATATTTGATTTCCCACTTGGAAAGAAATAAAAACATTTCTAGCTCACATGGGAAATGTAAAAAAAATTCACGGCGTTTTTCCTCAAAATCAGTTTTTTTGTTGCTGCTCAAAAAAAAAGCTTCAAAATGTTTTTTATGATTATATTTCAGACAGTTCATTCAAATGATACGTTAAAGCATTAATTCATAATATTTTGACTAAATGAAATTTTTGCACACGTTTAAATCTGCTTATTTCTCCACTTTTGGACTCAATCCTCGTTTCAATGTGACGGCTCYCCAATATTTAAACGTTGCTCCATCTCCTGACAGGTTTTTGTGCAGATTTTATTTGTGCTGAGTCATGTTAGACCTGTTTCTGTCAGCGATTCTTCAGTTTTACCTTTAAAAAGAATCAGAAACAGACCGAGATAAAAAACGTTAACCCTGCTGAGGCGGCCATGTTAAACCGAACCACTTTCATCATGAAGACAAACGGAGGAAGAAAAGTTGACAAAAACAACTGGAATAAAATGAAGTGAAAGCGAGGCCGACGGTTTGAGTCCCTGAACACCAAACACTAAAATAAAACTCAGACGTGGTTCAGACGGCCACAGAGTGAGAAGAGAAAATACAAAACCTTCATCTTCTTCAGGGTTAAAACTGGTGCAACAACAAACACTTGGTGTTAAAGTAGGAATATTTAACAAAATCTCTCATACAAAACTTTAATACATGAAAGTACAAAAAAAAAAAAAAAAAACAATCCTCTGAAGCTTCAAACGTCTCAAAACTGCAAAGAGTTAATATTTTAGAAGAAAATTATATACAGAAGAAAACTGAAAACGTAAAAACACTGGTTTTGTGAGAAAACATCACTTTTATAAAAACATCTGTGATCAGCTTCGATTTAAAYGAGCCGTTTATCGTTTCATCAGAGAATCCTACATTTCCCAGAATGCTTTTCTGCCTCGGCTGCTTCCTGTGGACCAAAACTTTACTCAGGTTTACTTACCTTTACTACTGAATCTTCACTCTCGAAATACAAAAACATGGCCCCCGCTTCGTGTGTTTGTGGGGGTCATAATACACTAACGTGTTTGTTTCTTTTTAAAAAGCGATGCACTCAGTTGTGAGGCTGATTTAAGACACTCAGCCGTGTTCGGACTAGCCTTTAGCTCATTAGTCCCATCGGATTTAGAGGTCAAAGAGCCATCTACAACAGGTAAGACACTGACTGTTTAAATTTTAACTTTAGAACAAACGGCTCCTAAGAAGTAAAGAAAATCACAGACGTCTGTTTTTAAAGTTTTCAGGCAGGTTTGTTTCTTGATTTTAGAAGTTCTGAGTTTTAATATTTTCTTTACTTGGTTCTTTAACTGCAAACAGGAACTCAGATCTTTGTAAAAACACGGCAGCAGCTCATCGAGTTAATGTGTCGTGAATTTAAAAGTGTTTTACTGAAGCTTGACCCAAAGCTGGGATTTATCAGAAACATTTAGTATTTTTGGATCAGAACACTCGAGTTAAAGCAGGTTCTGATGGAAGAGAAGAACCAGAGGCTGGACCTTCATGAAGAGCTGCTGACAGAATCTGGACCCCGATAAACCCAGCTMAGGCGGGTCTGAAACACTTGGGTGTGTGCTGCCTGGAGGCCCGGTTCTGGTCCTCACTGGTCCCGGGCTTCGTACAGAAGTTTGGCAGCCTGTCGGGAAGAAGAAAGGAGGAACTGAGACAAACGTTTGTGGCTTTTTAACAATCAGCTCAAAGGTTTCTGGACCGGGTCAGAACCAAACCGGACCGGGTCAGAACCAAACCGGACAGACAGAGAAATTAAAAGTTTATATTTCAGTTTAACTAAATGTTTTGTGTGAGGGAAATCCTTTTCTCTTTTTCTTGATGCAGTTTCGTCTCAAACTAGATTTATTTTTTTGGCTCCAGTCCCAGTTTGGGGTCACCTTGGCTCCGCCCCCTTGGCTCCGCCCCCTCAGCTCACCTTGTGCATGGCAGCCAACCACAGGGCGGCCACCTTCTTATCATCAGCTGCCTCCAGGCGCAGCTGCTGGACGTCCTGAGAGCCCATCGGCTTGTAGTGGAGCAGCATGCCGCTGGCCCGGGCCGAGCCTCCTGCGCGCACGCAAACACACACACACACACACACACACACACACACACACACACACACACACACACCCACTG